TTTAGAGGAGAGAAAGGTAGTATCGAGAATCACAACAACAATCGTGTCTGAAAAATATTCACTCATTTCCAGTAGAATTTGTTGACAGTGAACGCGGCACGAACTAATGGAGCAAAACATTATGCTTAAAGAGATAACATTTCCACGGGGAAAAGATTGCGATCGAACGAGACAACGTTGTTCGAAAAATGTATATGTGAGCTCATTTTGCTTTAAACAACTTAAGGAAAACGGAAGAGCTAAAATAATTGATTTTCCAAGGAGATCACGATTATAATCAAGATGCTGCGCATCCGTACTTCGCGAAAGTACCAGGCCAACGATGCTACGGAAAAAATGGTTCACTGAAACCTTTGACCTTCCGCGCTTTCTCCATGAGCATGCCGGCAATCTGCCGTAGGAATTGTCATGCTCTTTGAGAAATTCGCCAATGATTCAATATCGATCTGGCCTTTAAAATGATAGTTAAAAGTTACAAGTTAGGAAAGAGAGAAAGAACAGGAGAAGGGAGAGATGCAAAGTTTTATTATCAACGGAAATTTCGCGAGACGATTGCGCGAGTGAAGACGATAAGGGTGTGCGTTCGTCCAGTTCGTTTTCTTAATTGCCGCAGACTCGGGAAATTATTCTATATGCATTTAATGAGGAAGAATTTATGTTCCCCCTTTAGTGGCGAGACTAATGACTCCTACGTGTCAGATTACTCTGGGAAGTAAATATCACGTCACGGCGGCTCCTTGTCGGGAACGAAGCGTACATTCTTGGATAAATTAATGCAAAATTTCGAGTCAGAAGTTAATAATTGAATCTCATCAAGATCTAGACTAATGTCTGATACGTGCGTGATTATTTCTGAACGGAATTACAACGATTTCTCTCACTCTATTATATTCGACGCATTTACAATAAGTGAGGAATATTAGTAAATATAAGTATATTATGTAAAGATTCAATAAATTATGTAGAAACATTTTTCTGTATGTACATTGAGAAAAAATACTTTTTAATAAATATTTGTTTGAATAATATTAACTTAACATTTACCTACTATAAATAAATATTTACTAAATAAAAAATGATAGTTAAATCAAATTAATGATTCTTGTATTAAATATAAATATATGTTAAATATTCAGCTAGTATTATTTATTAAAATTTAATACTTTTTTTCTTTCAGTGTATTACTTATCATACAATAACATCATATATTTTAATGAGATATTAAAATTTTCAATTTTCTCAAGACAAACTTAACTTTAGTATAGTCTGGTATTTTAAATGTTAAATTTAAAAAAGATTGCGTTTATCGCACGGTGATCTTTCTTGATTTTCAGAATTCTATATCGCCAGTTTTTGAAAGTCGGTTTTTGATTCTCACAGGTAAATTATTTTAATGCGACGTATAATGTAAAATGAGGTAAGAAACGATTCGTAAGGGGATATATTATAATTGGAAATATCTAGACATCACCATTATTATTGTTTTATATCGTCACCTAAAGAATTCTTCCCAATCATTCGTTTTTATCGAATACGAAATCTGTCGCTCACGATTGCTCGCATAAGCAAGCGGCTAGGAATCGCCGAAGAAGTTCTTACGCCCACCATCGTACGACGACGAGAATCGCCTCTGTAGGTGCAAATATCGTACCATCTACGAGAGAACCGAAGACAACTTTCGCCCTCCAAGGCTGAGAAGATTCCTCACGGCATAGAGCTCATCGTGGCGCGCGTAATAGAAACGAACGGACGGGACGGTCATTGAAAAATATAGTACCCGATTCGTTAATTGCCCTGTTACGTGGCACGTACGTACGTCGATGTCGAAAGCCTCTAAGGACTAATAGATACCGTGTATATCAACGAGAAACAGAATTAAACAAGTTTGATCTACAATGGATTTTACAGGATACATGTTTACAAAACATTCCATAGCAAATTTGCTGGTTGCGCATTTATATAGCATTTGTCAAGAGACATTTAAAGTCACCTACATTGCTGAAAATAATTAGATCATTGTTTTTTTTATGTAAATTTTGAAAATATGTAAATTAAGATATAAACCACATCATCTTAATGAAAGAAATTCTCATATCTCATAATAGGTACTTTTAGGAATTTATCACGTTGTAAATTTATGAAAATTTATGAAAATTTTTGAAAAGAGATACCTTTATCAGAATTTATAAATTTCCTTCTAAAATTATGAAATAAAAAATTTTAGAGATCTTAAAATATTTCAGAATTCATATATATATAAAGAATTCTAGAAGATATGGACTTTCTCATATGCGGTATCTTTTCTGAAAGGTGCCTGAGAATTTTTTAACGGGGCGCAGCGACTAAAAAAATTGAAATATTTTTATGAATTTTTTTACTGAAAAAACTGTCAATTGGATTAAAATCAATGTCAAAAAAAACATAGACATCTATTGCGAAATACAAATGTTAATTTCTTGGCCGTAAATGCGACGACATTGTGGATAATTTTGCACGATGTTCTTTAGATTTAAATTCTAAAGCTGTCGTGAATTCTTTTCGTCTTCCACATACACACATACACACACAACGCATTACACCGGCGGCGCGCTGCAGGATGCAAGACAGGCTAAATTGCGAAATTTCAATTGTCGAGGTACGACCTCGATCTTCGTGCGACGTGGCAAGTGAATTGGGCCACGTGATTCTTTTGCTCGTAGACGATTCCTTTGCATGTTCTACGCCGCGTTCTATCTACCTTAACTTCAACCTACGGAAGTGACCTTATCTCATCGACGAATCGAGTGCTACAGTTCCACTTGCAACGAAACCTCCTCTTTGATCGCAAACGATTTCTACCCGTACGTGAGTCCATCCGTTCTAATTAGTTGCTAACTGTTCGGGATTATGTATCTAATATCAGAGAAACCTGTGAGAAAGTTTAACTTTGAAGTTCCGAGATACTAGAAGTCCTACGTTTCGACAAAGGTATCTAAATGCCGCTGAAGAATTCTCTAAGTCAGTGCAATTTTCGTGCAATTATCCGGCAAATTTCGCTCAGCTATTTGAAATATCTAACATCCTTAGAATGTAGTCTCAAATAGCGCAGAACGACCTGCGAGGCCGTTCGTGGATGTGGCGATTTAAACGTCCTAAACAAGATGCTAGCTGTTCCGACCGTCGTAATTCCTCGGATTACTGCTGGAATGCAACCGAGCACTCCTTCGATGCACCCTCCGAGTGCAATGAGTCGCGATCTCGCGTTGGCAAAGGCCACCTAACGACCGGTCACGCCGAACTTGCGCTAACAGACGAGACGTTCGAAGAGCGTTCCTCTATCGAAGATTAATTTAGAAGCATGAAAAGAGAGACTAAACGAACAAGATGCAGAAGCAAAATATTTACATTTTTATGAAACTTATAAAAGAAGACGCGGCGCAAAACATCTTCTATTATATAATTAAATTAATCAATAGTTGTGCATTCAGAAGAATGTTTATTTTATAATCGTTGAAAGTTTTCTTCGCTGAGATAAAACTATTCCTTTCGATCTATACAAGTATAATCCAATCGGTGTAAAACGCTTACTGAGCATTGATTTCTGCTGGCTATTTAGTTTTATTGAACATTTTTTCATGGAAATGATGTGTAAAATATGGCAATTAATTAATTTTCCTAATATCAAAAAGATTAAAAAGCACAACTTAATAGTAATTTAATTTACTTTCCTGAAAATATGAGGAAAGTGTCAACTTTAAGATTCTCATTTCTTGGAAGTCTTCTTTTAGATGATTTATAATTTAGAATAAAAACTGACCGTAATTTTGTGCCACGTGCACTATTAAATCTACAGTGTTAAATTTAACTCAATTTAACGAGCAGTGGCATCTCAAATTGTAAAATATACACAGGTCGTTTAATGGAGCTTAAGTTCTAAAAACAAAAATCGTGTGAATAAATAGATAGGAACTATCCATACAGTGACGCAATAGTGAATATCCTTTCACACAAAATATAACTACTTTGAAGTTCTATTAGAATAATTGACGCTGACGGGCATCGGCTTCTTTCTTTTATCATTGTTAAAGGCTCACGCGATGTTATCTATCGCCACACCCTCCGCATACAATTCAATGCAAAACGCAACTTTCTTCCATCTATATGGCCTGATACGAAATTCATCATTTGATACGAAAATAGTTACAACAGCGCAGTCGAATAGAAAAATTCGATGTGATTAAAGTTCATTCGTGTCACGAACGCTTATCTCTATGCTACCGTATATCTTCTAATGATATCTCCAAGTAATCACAAATAAGAATCGACGTTGAATTTAATGACTACCGCGCAATGCTTGCCGATCCGCCTTCTATGCCTACATCCTTGACTTGATTTTCCAAAGGGGAACAGAATCTCGAGCTATAGAAGCTTTCCGCTAGGCAACTTCTTCCGTGCGTGAACAGAGGCGACACAATAACGAGCACCTACGCGTTATTATGCATCGCGCGCGGGAGAAGTCTCTTCAAGAGATGATAATGCTCCCGCTTTCCCGCGCGCGGCGGTTTCTCCGGCACCCAGCCGCCTATACCTATACGTGGTAATAAAAACGTGTAAGTTACACGGGAGTCCGCGCACGGTATGTGCATACCCACGTATAATACGTGCCATCGTCGCCGTTGGCTGCTTGGCGAACGAGCCCGGTTGCTGTAAGTGACGTAACGAGAAAGACGTTACGTTCCGCAGCGGGCCCTGTTCACCGTTCTCTTCTCCGCATACGCGATGGGGCTCGGACCCCTACTCCGTCATCCCGCAGCTTTACCCGACGGAGCCCCATCCTCCCAGAAGGCATCTTCTCCGCGCGCGCGATCGAGCCTCTTCTCTTCTCAGGTACAAACGTTTTCCGCGCTGCTGCAGTCGCGTCCGCGAGTCTGATCGCGCAGGTAACGCGTAGGAGTGCGAACCAAGTCCGAAAAGCTGAGTGAATCCGGAGAAGAGACTATCCAGAGGACTCGACGAAAAATATGGAGTCCATGAGACGATATCTCGTTCTAATCTTGGGTACGTGTAATTGATACGACAGAGTGAAACTCAATCGCTGGAAGTGGACTGTAAAGAATCGCCATAGAATTATCGTCTTTGATGAACTTTTGCGATTTACTACATTTGGTACCGATTTAAATAAATACTGAAATGTGATAAAGTGCAATTCATCAAAGACTTTTAAGTATAACTGGTCTCTATAAACAAAATTTGAATCAGAAATTACCTACTTAATTACTATTGAATACGACCTTTTGAAATATGTCAAATTTTGAAGTAATTAATTTTAAAAGCAACTATTTAAAAATTCAACATACCTCAAAGAGGATTTTATTCAATAATAATTTAAATAATTTTTTATTTAAAATTTCGTTCATAAATCAGTAATACTGTTAATCGAAGAAATCTCTGTGGTTACGAATATATAAATATTCATACGTTTTCGTGTAGATACCCCTAAAAAGGTGCATTTAGTCAATTCTATTTTCAATGTATAATCGCGTTCGATTATGATGTTTGTATTAAAAAATACAAATAATAAAATAATAATAAATAAAAATAGATATTCGGATAAATTACAATGTATTTTTTTTATTTTCAAATATATTTTTCAAATATATTTCACCATTGATTGTATAAAGTTTTTGTTCCATAAAATTTAGGGGTTTGTTATGTGTTTTTTTTTTAGTGGGAATATTATGGAGCTGCGTACTAGGTCTCCAACGACCACCACCGAGATATTCTCAACAATACATGCCGGAAACCTCGTTCTCCTGTCGCAACAAGATTGTCGGCAGCTATTACGCGGACCCTGAGACCGACTGCCAAGTCTTCCATGTCTGTGTCTCTGTGGCTGGTACTATTCAGGACTACAAGTGAGTGTTACATTACGATCTTGATAAGTAAAAGTAGATTTTTTTTCAGTCTTTTATCACCAACAGTAAATAGGCACATATATATATGTATAAATATATACATATATATATATATATATATGTCATGCCTATAATAAAATAGTAAAGGTTACGGAGTTAGAGCCAATCGCTGAATTCGCAGAATTATTTAACTATTTTTTTACTTAGGTTCCTTTGTCCCAACGATACCGCCTTCGATCAGGAGAGTCAAACTTGTGCAGATTGGTATGATGTGGATTGCGAGGCCGCGACCCTCTACTACGCCAGCGACAACTTTGACTTGTATAGAATTGGTTCCGGTCTGGAATCTGTGCACTACGATAACTTGCGTAGTGACGCTGAGCCCCAAGACCATCTTCAGCGTAGCGAAAGCAGCGACGCGGTTCGATCCTCCGCGAACGCTGTGAATCGAGTATCTTCGTCTAACTACAACAATCGCGAGATACTGCGAGGTAGCAGTAGCGGCAATTTGTACAACAGAAACAACAAGGAAGATGAATATGATGATAAGTTGTACAAGGAAGAACAAGACAACAAGAAAAAAGGCGGTATTCGAAAGGCCAGTAGGAAGCAACCGTACACCGGCAATGGTAGCAGCAACTATTCGCCAACGTCCACCACGTCGGCACCAGCCGTGCCTAGTCAGAACACCTACAACGGCAATTATTACAACAGCAATGCGTATAATCAACGATCTACGACATACGCCCCGTCAACGACCGTCCGACCTCAAGAGAACTACAACAAGAATCAGAACACGCAAAGATATAGCGCACCGTCCTCTACGTATCGACCTAGTACGACATACCAGGATACATATAACAACTATCAATCACCCAGCACGACTGCCAGAACAACTTCGAACAACGCCTACAATACAAACTTCTACAATCTCTACAACTCGAACTACAATCAACAGAATACTGGTAGTTCCGTTCCACAGAATACTGGCAGTTCCGTTCAAGCTACAACGCTGAAACCAAGCAGCTACAATCCGAAGACCAGCTATCAGACTTATCAATTCGCGCCATCCACCACTGTTCAGCCGAGTACTGTAAATTATCAGACCAGCGATTACACTAATTATCAACAGAGGAGCTACAACAATATCCAACGAGGAAGCAGCGCATCAGTTGCGCATCAGTCTACCACGCCCGCACCTACAGCTTATAACCATAATTACAACAACAACAACAATAATGCTCAGTACAGACCAGCCACGTCCACTAGTCAGGACATTTCTCAAACTACTGCCAAATATTACGCCAACAATTTTGCAAGTAACAGTTATGCACCCACAACTTACAGCCCAGCAACGAAAAAATACGTGAACGTGGACAATACTGTCGCGCAGACCGCTTTGAGGAACAATGATAACAGCCAATATTACGACAAAACGAGTCAAGCGAATAAGCCTTCTACTCAATACTACGATAGCACAAAAACGCCCAAGAAGGCAACTCAATATAATAATTATGACAACGCGAGTAGCGGCAAGTCGTATTATATCGAAACGAGCACGGCGGGTAGCTTCAACCTCGCGAGATCTTCCGTGGGAATTGGTTTCAGCCCCGCAAGTATCAATCATCTCGCTGAGTCGCCGAAAACCACCACGCCGGTACCAAGGTAAACTAGAAATTAAATTTATTCAAAACTTTACCAAAGATGGTATTATTCTTAAATTCCCATTCAATTCAGAAGCTTGAAACAAAGTTTATATTGAAAAAAATGTTCTAATTAAACTAACAAAAGAGTCCAACAAGAATGGCATTGTAAACTTGTTTAAAAAATCAGGCAACCTAGAGTTGAACGCGAATTAAAAATATTTTAATATTTATACGATGAATATTTTGATTAAACCAACAAAATGTAACAAGAATGACACATTTTAAGAACAAACAGAATTTCTGATTATGACAAATGTGTAGAAATTCTATTCGATTTCATAAAAATGTCGTTGGTAGGCGTTTTTGTTGATTTAATCAGACCATTGTTTATGTATAAATATATATGTATATTAAAATATTACTAATTTAAAATCGAATATTATCTAAAGAAAGAAAATAATTTAATCGAGAATATAAGAAGCGTACTGACAAAGATTTTAGGATTTATCTTTCATCAAAATGTGTCTTGTATTCTTGTTCGAATCTTTCCATTTTTGTGAAATAATTCTACAGACTAGTGTATTGGAGAAGAAGATTGATTGCAGCGTTCTTTTTCTTGTTACAGACGGCCTTCTAGCGCTACCACATATAACCCAAATAACTTTAATTCCAACGCTCAGAGAACCGTTCAACCGACAACGACGTCACGTGGAGTTACCTACGTCAGCGGATCCGCGAGACCGTTCACGTCGACGACTAGATTACCTAGCAGCAATAACAGCAACAGCCCCAGCAGTACGACAACACGACCAAAATCGGGCAAAAAGAACGATTACGATTACGCGTATTACGATAGCACGGGTGGTCTGGAATATGACGGAGTCGACCTTGAGCATGTCACCAGCAACAAAGAATCCACAAAAATCGCGAGAAATTAAAACAATTTCGCCTCGTTATATACCGCATCGAATCACTTGAACCTCGATACTAGTGATGCAAAATTGAGAAGGATATAAATATCTCCTTATAGTTTCAACAGATACAGGTATAATTTTTAAATACCTCTATATACTTGTATCTGAAAATATATTTTGCGATGAAACAAATGTATTCGTAGAAAGAACTCATTGTATTTTCAATACTTATTCTAAATTTTTTAAAACATTTGATAATGTTTTGTAAATTAAAAAAAAAAAAAATTTTAATTAGCTCAAAATTCCAGTATTATAATATAATCAAACAATATTATACGAGGGTGAAACTGTTAATTAGCTAAAATTAAATGTACTTTTAAAGTATCTGTATTTAGATACTGAAAATAAAAAGTACCTTTTACATCACTGATCGATAGGAGGAATTTCTTGTGAATTATTGTTTATTAGTGGCGAGTCGTCATCAAAATCGGTCTTCGATTAGCGTACTCGTGCAAAAGAGACGCGAAGAGGAAAGCAATATAAATATTGAATACCGATTTTGAGAGATAAAAAGAATTATCGATCGATATTGTCCACTTAAATGCATGTAAGTTCAATCGAGATTCGACGGCTCGTTTGCCGTCATTAACAATATAATTTTGTAGTTCAGTATTCTAGGTTAATTGTTTATACATTTTTACGATGCTTAATCCGTGCAGCATTGAGCGTCGATATATCGATGTTACAAACATTAAGAAATTCTAGCGCAAAAGATTGTTTCGAATTGTTCCGCCGACATTAATCTTTCCCTTTTTATTTTGTTGTGTAAAAATCCATTAAAATAACTGATTGTTAATAATACTTATTGTATATTAGTACAGTAATGCGAAGTTTATTGTCAAAACGTTAAATTTTTCACACATTTTGTGCAAGCATATCGAGAAAAGCCAGCACAAAATGTGTTCGGAATAAAGATTGTTTGATTATTTGCGCCGCCCCCTGAAGTATACGTACTGAGTGTATGTACACTATGACTATTTTAATTAAGAAAAGCATTAAATAACATGGTTTATTATTTCATCCTTTTCTAATGATAGTCTTACATTTTATCCTATCCTATCTCACACACGTTTAAAAAATTACAAACACAATTCATTTATGAAGTATAAATAAATTATTTTCAATGTCGAAATTATCTACTGATACAGTTTTTAGCAATAGGAGTGCATGTAACATTTTTGGAGAAATTTCGTGTGTAATTCACACTGACAAATAAACATGCGTATGAGGGAATAATAAATAAAAATATAAAATAACGATCATAAACAAGCAAAAAGGTTCTGAAATAATGCTAATTTATGCGATTACCTTCGTGCGCGAAGAGCAAACGGCAGCCAAGAAGACTAGAAACAGTAGAAACCATGGTCGAAACTCGAAGTGGTAGAAACCAGGAGAGTCAACTAGCGTGGTGGGGGTAAGTCAAAAAACGTTAACTTCACTTGCTAAAGATGACGCGCGACGCGGCGCACTACTTTTGACTTCAAACAGTTCAAACAGATATTGTGAAATATGCATTAAAATATACACAAATATAATAATATAATATAGAATATATATATTTTTATAACACACATATATATATGTTTTTTTTTTAAATCGTTCGTGACTTCTTAAAGCGGCCTGTTTTTGAAATACTTTTCACATATTTAGTGTCTTGTGTAAGAAATATTAACAATTTAGGAAGATACAATATATTTATATGTATATGTAAAATATGCTTGATGTATACGTAAATGAACTGTTGCTTTTTACTGAACAGATAACGTTGCAATATTCGAAATTTCGATAATCGATTACAATTTTCGAGATATCGAAAGCATGACGTCACATTATCGAATTGAGACTTCTGAGACCTTGCCGCCATGATTTTATTTAGTGGTCTGCTATTTCTCATTTTCATCGCGCTAATTAATCAAGTCAATCGAGTCGGCTGTTAATCTGTTTGAATTCGTTTTAAGAGGAATAGAGAAATTTAGGTATTTTAATTTTTCGACTTCTATCTTTCACGCGTAATCGTTTTATTTATTTTTCACCATGAATTACATAATAATCTGAATGAAAACTGCGAAGTGTAAAATAGAGAAGAGAAAGATCAAAACGTTAGGATGAGCTATAGGTTAACAAGTCTGAAAGAAGGAAAGATCACTGAAAATTTTTACTAACGCCAACAAAATTTGCAAAGAATGCCTCGCCATACTTCGTAGCTGTATTCTTTTCGCAAATGCCTTGATGTTCTATTTCATATCAGAGGTTACAAACCGTTGCATAATCATTCTTAGTTTTAAGGTTATCTCACAGAAATTCGTTTGATTGGTAAAAATAATATTTTGATTTATTTATCTTCTATGTCATTATTTATTACGTTACACTTTATAATTTTTCTTTGTTTTATACATTTTGATGAAGATATCTATATATCTTTCTTTTTTTTAATTTTAAGAAATACAATCATGGGCAACGCTCTTACCACAGCATCCGTATCAGCGACCGACGTAATAGCACCATTATCTCAACAAATGCCGAAACCAGATTCTCATAAAATGAAAGAGCCACCGTTGGAATGTCCCATGCACAAATCAGGTCAATTTAACACTATAAACTACAGTAGTGAATGCCCAATAGATAAAATGGACGAAAGTGAAATAAATCCCTTAAATATGGTATGTACTATGCACAAGATTTCTTTTATCAGTCAATGAATAGTTGTTTAATCATAGGATTAATTAGTCTCTTAATAAATTGTCCAATACAGTAGTATAATATAACTTTAACAATGAAATAATACATATATATATATATATATATAGTTTAATTATATGGCAATATCACTATTGGATATTTAAGTGTTTTAAATATTTATATGCTTTTATATTTAGTTTTACTGATTTCATGTATAGTATCTTTTACTATGCACTAATCTAATGCAATCAAGTAACTGAATTCACTATTTTATTCTTATGTAAATAAATGTCTTTACAGATGCCACCGGCAAATCAGCAACCCTCTCAAGATCAACCATTTCCTTTGCCAACCAGTAGGCAGGTTTCATCGATACCTAAAGCAACTGGAAAGGAAGGAGAATTTTGGGTATATCCCTCTCAACAAATGTTCTGGAATGCTATGTTGAGAAAAGGGTGGCGATGGAAAAATGATGATATCTCCCAGAAAGATATGGACGACATAATAAAAATTCACAATGCCAATAACGAACAAGCATGGCAAGAGGTTCTTAAATGGGAAGCCCTTCATGCACGAGAGTGTGGTAATCCCAAGTTGCGCAGTTTCGGAGGGAAAGCATCAAAATATTCTCCACGTGCACGTATTCGCTATTGGATGGGGTGAATTTTGATTTCTTATTAATCCCGATTCTGGAAATTTTAACCCTGCTGATCTATTCAAATACACATACAAATATGATTATATCATTTTGATCAACATGATTAAACCATTTTTTTAAATAGAACATTTTTACAGAAAAAAAACTTGTATTAACAAGTGAAATCAAATACTAGAGAAAAGTTGTTTTTAGTAAAGTTTTTTTTCATTAAAATGTTAATAAAAAACTTAATTATGTTTTGAGTCAAATAAAGCTAAATAGATCAGCAAAATTAAGTCACTACATAGTCTTTACAACACTATATTATTGTATGTAACACTATATTATAATAAATATATCATTCTTTCAGATATGAACTACCATTTGATCGACATGATTGGATCATAGATCGTTGTGGAAAAGACGTAAGATATATTATTGACTATTACGATGGTGGGAAAGTTAACGAAAAGTATACATTTGCGTTACTCGACGTGAGACCTGCAATGGATTCCTGGGAAAATATCTGGGATCGGATGAAAGTAGCATGGTGGCGTTGGAAATATCAACCTAAGAATGAACCAGTATCTACTGCCACAGTGCATTAATTTAGAAATTAGTGTCAATAAAAAAACATGATAGTTTGAAAAACTTTTACTGAATTGATAATTAATGCCTTATAATTACGCAACATATTGGACGCATTCAGCGAACTTAACAGTTGAGTGAGCGTTCGCTGCTATTGGTGTATTTTTTTAAAGTCTCAGATCTAAAAGGATACATCAATAGCAACGAGCGCTCACTCAACTGTTGAATCCGTTGAACAAAGCCATTATTTATTGCATAATGAGACAAAAATCGCGATATAATTTATGTACATATTAGTTATATGTATACATAAGTATCACATATACAAGTTTACAATACTTATGTATATTTAATTTGCAAACTAACGTCAAATTAAAGCGAATTAAATAGTATATTTATTTGTACTTGGTAATAAATTTTATATATATTTTACAAATATATATGTATACACTCCTTTTTCATCTACATTATACTATTACATTATATACGTAGGTCGTCTGAAAAGTCTTTTGAGCCTCAAATTCAATTTTATTTTTCATTATAGCATTCTCTATATTCTCCATACTATTACTTGTTTCTATGTAAGGGTCAAAACTTTTCAGACGACCCTCGTATATTATAAATATATTAAAATTTATCTGCAGTGTTAAGTAGTTATTTGAAATGATTTTATAAAGGTACAAATAGTTAATTTAATTGCGAATTTTTGTCTTGTAAACCATAGAATTATACTTAAATTATGTATACTATATACACCAATTTAATCTATATAAATATATTCTTATATAGATCTCTAAATACTAATTTTATGATTATAAATTTTGTTTATATTTCAAAAAAATTTGAACTTACTGCCAAATATTAACATCAAATATTCTCTACTTAAATCTTAATGATAAGTATCCTAAGCTAGATAAAAGAATTGTGTGTGTGTATATATATATATGTATATACATATCGTACAGATTATATCTTATAAATTATAATCTTTCTTTCACACACATGAATACATACCTTTAACTTTATTACAATTTAATAATCACTGCCTTTTTCTTCATTATATTAAGCAAAAAAATATGATAGAAAATATGTGTTATAAAACTCGCACTTATTAATGAATTTTGAATTAATTTATTTTTAAAAATATAGTAAATTTTTTTATGAAAAAGTATTAAACTGTTATACATTTTCACTATACAAATTACTTAATTGCATGTTCTAAATTAGGAGGTAAATAATTTGAGACAAATATTTATTGTATATTATACAGTTTTTTTTATTGTCAATATATAGCTCCATTTAGTTTTCAGAATATTTATAGTTATCAGCAGAATATTTAGTAACTTTGTACATTTTATAGATTAAAATTTACATAATTTTAATAATGGATTGAGAGTGGATTGTTTAATTATATAAAAATAATTGATAATTATGCTGTAAAAGTTCAGATACTGTTAAAGCTAAACAAGCGATTATAAAATGTTAGCATTAAAATACAAAATATAAACTTTAAATACAAGAACATAATATGTGATGCTATTCTTTCCTAGTAAAACTTAAGTACTCATAATCCAAGTTATTTATTTCGATAAGTTTTAATTACAATAATCATTTTTCATCTAGAAGTTTCTTAACTATTTACACTTTTACATATAAGAAGTATTCCTTAAATATAATTTAGAATATATATATGATTATATCAGACAAGTACAGAACCAAAGAATTATACTTCATTTTCTGACTAAGAATATGTTAATATTTAAATGTTGTTTATTAAAAATAATTCCATTTTTATAAATTGTTATTCATATATATTAAAGGCAGTTATTAAGAGCTATTCTTCATTGACATGATGTAAATTAATTGATAAACATCTTTCCTAATAAAATATCCAACAGTAAAAAATATATATATGTACGTTATGTACTTATAGAAATTTATAATCGATACATTATCTGTAAGCCAAAGTTGTTATTTTATGTTTTTCTGCAGTTCTATGCATATATTAATATACTAACATATGTAATACATCATACCAATATGTGCATTATGATACTATTAAATTTACAATAATCTAAAATTTTTATAAGATATGATACTACTCTATAATATAAGCTAAACATTTCTATCATAATATATTTAACATTAAATACAATTGTAATTTTATAACAGACGAATTCATTCGATTCTCATTATGTTAATATTTTAATAAAAAAAGCAACTGTTAAAAATGTATCGACATTTACAATTTTGGTAACATTTACTTTCTTGAACACTATAATGATCTTATTATTTAGCGATATTTATTACAACGATAATAACGAGATAATAATCTAATATTAGATAATAGTCTAATATTAGATATATTATATTAAAATTTTTTTATATCTAAATAGTGTTTAAACTAAATTCTGATGGTTGGACAAATAGAATGTCTCATATATATATATATACATATATATATATATATATATACACATATATATATATATATATACAGTTTGTCCAACCATCAGAATTTATACTATATATATACTGTTGGCACATTAAATGATTTTAGAGAAATTAATTATAATATTAATTACAACAGTAATTAATTAAATAAAAAGAGAAACAATATCATCATGTTTAATTTCTTTTATATGAATATATAAATAATAAGCAATAATAATAAAAGCAGCAATGTAATAGAAGCAGTAAAATAAAATTTATCATCTATAACATACAATATTAAATAATAGAGAGTAACATCAAATATCATTGGATGACACGAATACATAGTGTAATACATATACAGTGTTTTGCTTTTATCTGAGCACTCTCGTCTAATAAATAAAAAATATTGTAGAGAGAAGCATTGATTAATGTGCAAGAACAGACAATGAGATATACTAATATATAATAATTAATAAAAAAATGAAACATGCTTTATTTATATATATAAATATATATAACATATTTCTCTAAAAATTTGAATACAGTATCTATCACATCTAGATATGTATCATAAAACTATACTTGTTTATAATTTTAATTATAACGTTTTCTTTGATTTCATGTGATATCAATTTCAAAACATAATTTTATCTTGTTATATAATTTTTTCTGGCTTATGATCAATTTATTGTTTACATTTTATACCAAATTCTTGTTAATTTTAAATCTGTAATTAAAATCTATATTCTTTGTATTATTACAACATATTGCACAAGAATATCTCATATTATTAAATCTGATTATGTGGTAAATAACGATGACAATTACTAGAACCACAAAGACAAGAAGTATCACTGAGATAATGGACGGAATTAGCCATCGCACCACCAGCATAGTTAAAAGTCACTTCCTCTCCGTTCTCTATATCTTTAGATGCAAACAAGCATAATCGAGGTACAATTCCCTCTATTCTAATCGGGATAAGGATAGAGTTCGGGTCACAACTATGATTAGCGTAGCGTCCAATATTACCAAAATATTTCGGATCTATACAGGTTACAATAGTACGATCTCCAGCATGTTCAGATACTACAAGAACGTAATTCATCATGTTACCCTGCTTATTAGCCTCAACTCTACATCTCGCTTCCTGCAGACTTATCACTTCGCCAGCGTATTCGCAAATAAATTGACCCTTTTTTATTAATTTATTCGTGAAAAGACCAAAACCTTTATTGGCAACTTCTCTCACAATTAAACAATTTAACGGACCATTTTGTACTAATCTATTTCCACAATTTGGTCCACATTTACAACGAGCATGGCATTCAAATATTGGACCGGTTAGTTTCTCATCGACAATTCGAGCATTAGAATAATTAGCAAAACCGCGTGTACATGAACAATTAAAACATTCAGCTACACATGAACAGCCTATAGCGTATTCTGCTTCAAAGTCTGCTATATCTATCCCAGGCCCTGGTATATTATTTATTATGTACATAACGTCTGCTACAATATGTTCGTACTCGTCGGCAGAAGCATTTGCTTCCATGCTTACCGTATTTATTTATCAATAAAAATATCCAAAAAAGTCTGAGAAACTCTTTGGGATAAAGGCAGCACGAGATATAAAGAGAAAAGATTGTTTTTTTTTTAATTAAGAAAGTGACTTTTCTTAAATGAACAAAATCCTATCGTGCGGCACCAACCTGTAGAAGTCCCTGAACCGATGACTTAAGAGATTGGAACGTGATAGCAGCAGGTACTGCTACAACTTTGTAACCTATGTAAATTACAACACCAAGTACAGATGCCTTAACAGTCAGCTTCAAAATTTTACCTGACAATGACGGTGGCGGTATTCTGCAAAAGACTGTCTAGTAAACAAATATGTAATGGGATACACTGTGCTTTAATATAATACATAAAGAAAATTTATAAATTTTATTTAGTTAAAACTTTATCGCTTATAAATCAAGAAATGTAACAAGAAAAAATATGTAGAATGTAGTTTTGCAAATGTTTTTAGAAATATTTTACATAACAGTAACTATATCATGCAATATTTTTTTTATTTACCTCATGATAGGTGGTATGTCAGAAGGCTTAATTTTACCCCAATTTTCGATGATGCCGGGTATGTGTCCTAAACCGACGATTCCTACGACACGTGTTGGTTCATTAGAAGTAAAGTGTGTAAGGTTAAAAATAGAACGAGGCAGACAGGACAACTGTAGAGAATTGGTCAAGAAAATATCTCTCTCTTTCACAAACACTTCTCCCAACACTGGACATTTATCGTTTATGGTGGCAATCATTTCGTCCAACATCGATCGTTCCTTACAAAGTTCGATGTCCTCTTGAGTAATAGAGTCTTTCATTACTGCCATATTCCATCCTAGTTTTATAGTCTGCCACCAGGACAATGATCGTATCGCACGTTGCATTGTTATGTTAATTGGTCGATCGGCCAGATGAATAATACAGTTTGGCACTTTCTTTGCCTAAATTACACAACAATGAATTTATTATAATACAGATAATGAGTGTTTTCCAGCAAAAGATACAGATCACATTTGCAGTAAATTATAATCATTGGGTACTTTCTGTTTTATGACGCAGTCGATAGAAACATCATTCTGTTTTCATTACTCATAGAATGTTAAGAACGATAGAATGACGTTTGTCAACATTGGCGCAAAATGAAGATATAATGAAGATATTATAATTCATTGTGTTACACTATATCAATGTGACTCTTATAGCATTTTCCACTGGAAAAATTGGTGCAACACTGGCATTGTGCGCACTGAGTGCAATTATGTTGTTCCATATTTTGAAAACTAGTTCAGTGTTTATGTTCCACTGACACAACTGGTGCAAAAAAATCGCACCGAGTTCAACTTTTGCTTCACTGTCTTTAAAGATGGTGGAAGACTAGTGCAAATCGAAATTGAGAATGCTTTCAAATACGATCATATGTCATTTAAATTACTTTAATTAATAATAATGTTATTTTCAGTTTTTGCTTATCTTAAAATAGCTAACATTACTATTTTAATATTCAAAACGATTAAACTAATAAAAAAATTAATAATTGAGAATATGTTAAAGATTGTAAAATAAGTAAATTGAAAAATAAAATAAGCAATTTAAATTTGTATACTTCAGTTAATTGAAATCTTAATTTGCTTTCTGAATCCATTTTTCTTATAAAGTTATGAGGTGACGACACAAGATGTGTTCCTCTGAGACTGCACTAGTGCAGTTTTCATCGAAACCTACCACGGTGTTGCACCAATTTCCTCAGTTGAAAACGCTATTATACTGGAAAACGTTTAATATTTCTAATTGGCGCGTACTAACTTCCTCAAATGCCCTTCGAAATTCCCCTCCAGGTGGCATACCAAGTTGCTTGGCAACATGAGCTGCCATTCTTAACATTAAAATATGTAATAAGCCATCATACAGTCCTTCTTTTTTAATGGTATCCATAATAGTTTCTGTAAATAGATTAAGTAATACAATATACCAACAAACAAAAGCTGATGTATTATACAAATACAGAAACTTTGTCTCTTACTGTAATCAATGTTTTTAGCGTAATCGAACAAAACTTCCTCGTCAAGCTTTAGTATACCAATTCTGGCTTTGCATAATTCAACTGCAACTATGTGAGGCTGCACAGCTTGTATAATCTTTAACAAAGTAAAAAAGAATGATTTATATATATAATAAATTTTTATAATTTAAAATTAAAAATCAATATTTTATTTTAACGGGACAATGAAAAAAAAATATATAGTTACTTTTGACACATCATTTTGACTTTCAACACTGAAATGTGCCGTTCCTACTAGGTATAACTTTCCGCCATCTGGTGTGGTCAATAATGTGACAGTTTCTGGTAATTTCTCATCAATTGTAGGATCGTATCCCTTTAATTCGTTTACTGTGTTGCCTGTGTTACTCCCCTTGTTCTGGATATTGGAATCTGCATTAGACCCAACATTTTCTGTATTATAAATACATGGCCAATATACACCTAAATAGTAGGTTAAATTAATTTCAAAAACTAGAATAGTGTACCTTGAGACTTTAAAATTTTCCTTCTACTTCTATATTTTTTTTGTATTACTGACATTTTTTTTTGAAGCACTGCTCTAAGCACAATAACTTATATTATGACAGCAACAATGGCTGATTTTATTATTAGATTAAAAAGATTTTGTATAAGTGAGAAACCTTACAACATTAGCTGCTTCAGAGTGTCACTCACAACTAAAGATATGATTATCAAGTAAGTTTTTAACAACAGATAATATAACAAGTATCTGTAGAAATTTGGTTTTTTAATTGCTTTTTTAATTGGACTGTAATAGAATTTGCCTTTTTGTTTCAAATATTTTGTCAAACATATTTATTCACTTTCTCAGTATAGGAAATATTTGTATATACTAATTTAGAGCTAAAAGATAGATCTTTAATTTCTTTCACACGTTTATGGTAAATATTTAAAGTACTTAGTATAACTTAATAATTACCTTCATCAATAAGAATTATTTCACTGTCAGAGGATTCAGTGCTTTTCATCTTGCTATCATCATCACGATTGTCACCCATGCTCACTATCGATAATGTACATGAAGATTGTGTCGCTGACTGAGAATCTGATTGTGTCATTTCACACCCAGATTCTTTGGCAATCAATTCTTTAGTAATATTTTGTGCATTTAGCTTATTCGATGTATCATAATCCCCCTTTTCGTCAATTAAATTGTAGTACTTGTCCTTCATAGACGTTAATAGATCACTCTCCCTGTGATCACCATCAATATGTTTATCAATCTTAGTAGAAATGGATGCCATTTCTTTTCCTAAAAAAACTCCATATATTTTTATAACGTAATAATATTTTTAACTACTTTATTTAAAAAGTATTTTTGAAACATCTGTTACGACTACATGCTAATAGACCACTACAGCAAACTCTTGCATTCGAGAATAACATATAAAAAAGATACTAATTTAATGTTATGGATTTTTATACTCCTAAAATAAGAAATATTTCTGAGGTTTCTAAAAAATCGAATTTTGATACCGTTATGTATGCTTCTTAGGCGGCAGATGTGAATTGTTGCATGCTTCTAACCTCGTAGAAAATTGACACGTTTATGGAAAGATCCTCGCATCGCTACAACAAAAGAATTGTGCAATTTATCTTTTTTTTTCAATCAGGTTAGTCGTGATCACATTTATCTTGTGTAAACTTACGCAATGGATGGAAATTTGGAGGAAAATATAACGTATGGAGAAATAAGGATTAAGATCAATAGATTAAGAGTCCAATCAAAATCATCTACTCATCTACTTGTAGCACCTAAATGTACTGTACTGATAACTTGGTAAGTGATAGTGGTAAGTGGTACGTAATACCGCAATTTTGTCGGTATCTTTCACGCCATGAAAAATTGATCAAGTACGCAAAATGTGTATACTATGAAGAAAATCGCTTCATATAATTTTTCAGAAAATCTATAAAATTTTTTTTTAATTTCTAAATTTTTCAAAATTTTTACATAATTTTCAAATGGTTTAGAAAATTTCTCATTTTTACTTAAGTGTCAATTCTAATAAATTATGCTGAACGACAAATACGACTTGTCAGTTTTAAACTCAGTCGGTTAATTAAGAGTGCGATCAAAGTATAGGTCGAAAGTTGCATTAGAGAAAGCATGAAGTCAGTATATTTAAAAAACTTAATAAGACTTGAAAATTACAAAAGTGAACGAATTTAGAATATTATAACATTTATAATTTCATCAATCGATATCAGTTAGTTTACAATTTACACAATCGATTCCTAGTTTTGCAACGGTTGTAAAATTTTTTAATACGATTGATTTTGCTCTTAGTTCCTTTTTTACTGTGAAGCTAAATGTATAAATCAATTATATTAAACAATTTTACAACAATTGCAAAACTGCTTCCTCTGTTAAACGCAATGAAAGTCATTACAATTGTTTTGAGGCAATCGTCCAATCAGAAAAGAATATTTTATAAATTGACCAATCAAAAGAATAAAGAATTCCAAAACGTCCTATCTGAGAAAACTTTTACCAAATATAAAATATAGGCTTTTCTTTCAAACAGTCGATACGAATGTTAAAATTAATCTAAACTGCTAGAAAACTTTTACTAAATAAGTAATATATGCTTTTTTTCCTTGATCCAGATGAGTGTTAATAAAATTAATCTACACTGCTAGAAATAAGGTGTGTTCCGTTATTCACTGTAGTATTACTTACCTACTAAAAATTTATTTAAATATATATAAAAAAAAAAAGCTTGAGACATAATTTACATAATTGAAAAACACAGGTAATAGAAATAGAGAATAACAATTAAATTTCAATCTCAGAAATCGTATATTCTGGTATAAACACGGTTTTTAATATGTTGGAATCTGTTAATTGAAACACACTTGAAACACATTATTGGCTGTTCCCCTATATGGCTTGTGTTTTTCAATTGTGCATAAGGGTGCTATTTTATTTGTCTATTTGGTCGTACGACAAATATGTGATAGAAAGATTCTCGGATCTCTCTATTCTACAACCAATCATTAAGTTTGAAAAATTTGTCGTACGTTAAAAACGCATAAATAAACTATAATGACCTTAGACTTTACATTCTGCTTTCTCCTCCCTTCCCCTCAGACCGCAAGCGACTCACAACTCGGGCGGGGTGTTTGGGCCCCGTGATTCGTGCTGTCACGATCTCCGTTCGCGGATCCCGGTTCGGGACATTATCGCGGAATTCACGGGATTCATCGTCATCACCGGGCCTCGATGAAAATGAAGCGGATGAAGAGCGATGTGATCAGCGCGACAATCGAGTCTTACCTGAAACGGCGTCATTATCAGGTGCGGTGTCTGTCGTCGGAGTTTCACGCCGCGCGTGGTTTGTCATCAACGTGTATGCCATAACCTCCTTCACCGCTGTTGCATGTTTTTCCAGACCCACGATTATCGCAAGGGCGATCAGTTGTTCTGTCAGAACAGCGATCAGACGACTTTGAATGCGACCGCGGAGTGCGGCACCTCGCAGGACAATTCGATCGTTTTCAGTGCCATCACCATTGATATCATTGCGGCAGATCAGGCATATCAGCGGTATGGTTTTATAAAATTTAAACTCATGTTCGTACCGCACGACGTGATTACTACTCCGTTTGACGAAAGTAATGGAACGAGGCCTGATTACACAAAATATTAAATCCTCTACTAATTTTAGATTCTAACATTTTATATATATTGCCATTTTATTCATAATAGCACAATGTGTTTGATATAGCTTTTATACGACTGAATTCTCATGAAACTGTCAAAAATTACATATATTTATGTAATAGTGAATCCGATCAATTATACTATACTGAATTAGTTATACATTAAAGGCTTTGTATACAGTACTTAGATATATGTATATTAAAAGTCTTTGATCAAAATTTTCAGTTATTTTATTATTTGACTATAAAAAATTCACAAAGTTCCCCTATGTTTTCAATCATTCAACTAGATGTTACCCCTTAAAGAACATGACATAATTATTGTTACTGAATGCTTAATAATTTTAAATATTTATATGTCTCTATATTTAACTTTGTTGATTTCATGTATAGCCACTTTTAGTAAATATACATTAATCTAATGTAAATACATTTTCATGCTAACACTTGATGTTTGTTTTTAGCATCGAAATAGGTCACATGATAAAAAGTGGTACTTGATATTTGTTTGTTTTGTCTATTTGACCTATTTAACACTAAACATGAATGTGAGCATCAGTATGATTTGTACTTTGTATTGGCAAGTGACTGAATTTATTATACAATCTTCTATTTTTATAATTTGTTTATTTATTCAATGGCTTGTTTTTATTTTATAGGAAAACCTAGAACAAGAGGTAGTTATTAGGATAATTAATAGTGAATTTATTTGATTGGACATACACACATTGCACTGATGTGTATACATAACCTTGAACAAGGAACACATTAGCTAATCAGGACCATATTCAGATTTTCACCCGAGTGCCATCATGCTATCCTTATTGTTTATCGAATGTTAAATATGGATGACATGAAACATGGGAAGCACTCGGGTAGGAATCTGAACATGCTTCAATTGGTGTGAAAAATTTGTAATATAACAAATGTCATATTAGCTTAAAGGACATATGGATTCTTGAAACCCACTCAAGTTTTTTTATTTTATTATTTTTAAAAATTAAAAATCACATTATTATAATGACTTTAATACACATTAGTGCATGCTAATGTATCCAATCAAATTTGCTATAAGATTTATTTTGAACATTTTTAAGATATAATTTTGAGTGAAAAGTTCTATATAATTTAAGATTAAGATTTCTAAATTGAAAGGTCAATGTTGATTATTGTGGGAATAGTATTTTTTTGTCAATATAATAAATTAATTTTGAGGATTGCAAGAAGATGTGTTTAAAGTTTTAATTCTACTTTTAGATTGAAGAAATGGATGAGCGTCGCACTCAACGAAAAATTACGAATAGAGTTACAAGGACTTTTGTATCCGATTTTTTGCCATCTTTATTTAGAGATGTTACACGCTGGTAGTCGTCAAGCTGCAATCCAATTCCTAAAGACGTATCAGAACGAGTTTATGAGTGATACGGAGAAAGACTTCTTAGAAGAATTATCTAGCGTATTTTCGGTGCAAGATATTGAGTTGAGGCCTTTGGTAAATGCGTTCAGAACTAGAAAGTATAAAGTAGATCTATCTGAATCGGCACATATTTGTCTGAGACAATATCTTACCAAATATGGACACATAATATTATTGCAGGTAATATAATTTAAATTGTTTTTAAGTGTATCCTGTTTTATTAACCATTTAAATTCTGTAGAAGATTAATCTTTTCAAATTAATTATACCAATTAAAAAAGATAATTTAAATTAAATTAAAGTATGAGGAAGTGGTTCAAGTGATAAAAATCAATTATGAAAAACAAGATCTACGTGCCAAACAATATAATTAATAACACATTTTTAATTTTAAATAAAACGATAAACGTTTCTACCTCACACGAGATCATTTTCAATGTTAGCATAGCATCGGAGAAAATTAAAATTATAATCAAGAGAGAGATTACTTATAATTTGTTGTAAATGTACTTAATTATATGATATTTTATTTCTTTAAAAAACAGCACATAGTCTTACATATTATAGGTATTACTCCTCTCATTGGTAATTGTAGCATAGTAATCGGTAGATTGCGGTTAGTATTATTATGATGATAATGTGCATTTTATAACTAAGTATAGATGCGTTCTGTTTCTCGCACAATGCGTACACTACATTATGGTATTTTATCCTTGTTGTTCACCGAATATTAAACAAAGATAAAATGATACATTATGTGCATAATGTGTGAAACGGAACGTAGCCTATGTGTATGCACACCATCCTCATTTATTATAATTAAAAATGTAATAAGAAAATGAGCTGTTTTAGAATGGTATGTTATAAAATTTAATTTAAATTAATTTAAATTAATTTTGACTGCTATGTATATTTTAATCAGATACACAGTGACTCCTTGTATCAATTTGAATATACACACATTTTCTACTCTCACTATCATTTATACATAAATCAAGAATATTTTTCATTGATTTTATATAGCATGTGAATTCTGGAAAGTCTAAAAGTCTAGTCTAAAAATTTTTATTTATGTTTTTAAGAAAACATGTTATTGAAAAATATATTTTAATGTGAAAACTTTACTTACAATTATATTAAAATCTTTTTACGACCGTACATCTGATAAACAAGAAGAAGACAGCCTATAACGGTCAAAGTTAGATCACAGTGCTTATTATAATTATGTGTGAATTTTATATACTGCGTATATAGTCCCCCCATAAATTGCGACGCCGATTAATTTCAGCATTGACGCATACTTACTAAAATAATATTATACAAATATTTTTATAAATTCATGATAACGATAAATATGTATTTACATTTACATTTGCGGTTCAGGAATGATATTTATTGTCTCTATGCCGTCGCGTATATCTTACACACGGGTCAAGCACCACCAATATTTTGAAAAACGTTCATTCATAGATGTAAAAATATATCTTCTGTTTTTTTTAATAATTTAACGTAATTATTTAGAATGAATCATAAACATTTTTTAAGACTGTAATAAGTTTTTCTCTTCTTTCTGGTTTCTTTTTAATTTTTATCACTTATTTATTTCTAGTTTAATTATTTTACTGTTTTGTGATCTGTGTAATATCTACTAAAAGCATTCACTTGACATGTTTAAAATTTTGACTATTTACGATGTGCAAACTCAGATTACATGATAATAAACAACTACCTCCATTTATTTCAAAAGATAACAAGTATGGACTGATCACAATATATTACTTTTATAATCTACACAATATACTACTTTTATAAACTTTAATTTTTTATTATTCTAAATAGATTATAAATACACACATCACAATAATTAGAAAAGCAGATAGCCCTCAAATGGATGGAGAAGTATTGGAAGAAAGAAGTCAAAGATATGAAGCAAGTATTAACGGCCACGTGGAACAACCTTCTGGTACCGGTATAGATCGTGAAATGAGAGAATTGCAGGAAGCTATACGATTGATACAGCATAATTCTCATCAAGCATTAAGATTGTTTACAGTGAAGAATGCTATAGAAAAGCAAGTAACAGATCATTATTTATTCTTCTTCTTCTTTAGTCTGCTTTCATCCGCTCCTGGACATAGACCTTTTTCATTTCTCTTCATTTATGTCTATTCTGGGTTATTTGCATTCTCTTTTCCGTTAAATATTGTGCGGATATTATAGCATATGTTCCCCCCCGATCATATATTCCAATCGACGGACGACACAATATTGAAAATAAAAATTTTGGTGATGCAAAGTCAGGGTATGTTAAGTTAGCACCCCAACTATAATGCTCAGGAGTTCTGATTAGAGTTCCCACTTCCTTTTGACAAGACGAAGAGTTCCCTATAGTTAAACAAGAGCTCCGCTCAATAAACGTTTTTTTTACATTTTTTAAAAATGGGGTGCTAACTTTTTATCAAATTTCGAGGTGGAATAGTTCTGAACGGCTTAATAGCTTCAATTTGCGATTGCCTAGAGTTCCTGATATGTAAAAAAAATTTTCGAATATTAAAAAAAAATTAAAAATTTTTGAAAAATTAATTTTTAGATACAATAGTTCTGATGATAATTCCTGCTTCTTTTTGACGATACGAAGAGTTCTCTATGATTTTTAATGACATATGCGCTTAATAATCATTTCTTAATAATTTTTTAAAAATGGGGTGCTAACTTTTTAACGAAATTCAAGGTCGCATAGTTCTGATCAGCTTAACAGAAGTATTTTGTGAATACCTAGAGTTTTTGATACATAAAAAACATTTTTGAAGAATAATAAAGTTTTAAAAAAATAGTAGAAATCTTTGAAAATTTTTTTGAGAGTACCGAGTAGTTCTGAGTAGCGTTTCTTATAGTTCTCGACGAGTTCTGTCGAAAAGTATCAGGGCTCAAAGCGATTGGACCAACGGTTTGCAAGATACAGCGACATTTGTCAGAAGATCAACAATTTTTAGAGTATATCTCGGAAACCGTTGGTCCAATCGCTTTGAGCCCTGATACTTTTCGACAGAACTCGTCGAGAACTGTACAGAACTCCAATCAGAACTACTCGGTACTCTCAAAAAATTTTGACTTCAAATTTTTTTCTAAGTCCCACGTCGGAAAATTTTTTGAGAGTACCGAGTAGTTCTGAGTAGCGTTTCTTATAGT